TATTTAATATAATATTCATATCATATTCTCTAATATAAACTTAACAAATAATAACAGCTATGATGTTATATCAACCTTTACTAAATTTCTATAATCTAAAGTTATTTAATAAAAGCTTAATTCAGAATAAGCTACAATTATCCTTGTTGTCTAGTTAAAATCATTAATATAAATAGCTTACTTTCAAATACTTAACTCTTTAAATTCCTGAATATTATACTTGAAAATTGATTAATTAACTTAATAACTTTCAAATAATGCATAAATATAAAGATGATTTATTATCATTAAATTATATAATTAAATCATTAATATAAATACATTACTTCCAAATACTTATGCCTAAAATATTATACTTGAAAATTGATTAATTAACTTAATAACTAAATAACTTTCAAATAATGCATGAGCATAAAGATGATTTATTATTATTAAATTATCTAATTAAATTATTAATATAAATACCTTACCTCCAAATACTTATGCCTAAAATATTTTACTGAGAAATTGATTAATTAACTTAATAACTCTTAAATGCATGAGCATAAAGATGATTTATTATCATTAAATTATTTAATTAAATCATTAATATAAATACCTTACCTCCAAATACTTGATTTTCTAAATGTTTGAAATATTATATCTGAGAAATTGATTAATTAACTTAATAACTAAATAACTTTCAAATAATGCATGAGCATAAAGATGTTTTTTTTCATTAAATTGTCCAATTAAATCAATAATTTAAATACCTTACCTTCAAATACTTACGCCTAAAATATTTTACTGAGAAATTAATTAATTAACTTAATAACTTTCAAATAATGCATGAGCATAAAGATGTTTTTTTTCTATTAAATAGTCCAATTAAATTAACAATATAAATACCTTACCTCCAAATACTTATGCCTAAAATATTTTACTAAGAAATTGATTAATTAACTTAATAACTTTCAAATAATGCATGAGCATAAAGATAATTTATTATCATTAAATTATCTAATTAAATCATTAATATAAATACATTACCTCTAAATACTTAGCTCTTTAAATGCCTGAATATTATACTAGGAAATTAATTAATTAACTTAATAACTTTCAAATATTGCATGAGCATAAAGATTATTTATTCTCATTAAATTGTTTAATTAAAATTATTAATATAAATATTTTACCTATAAATGTTATGCATTATTTTTAAATTCTGTCAATTATTAATTGACACATGTCATTTTTCAATTGAAAAATGTCATACATCTTTTTTTAGTCAGTATAAAAAAAAAATTAGCAGAAATATTTGTATGTATAATATTTAACCAAAAATATTCAAGTTTATGAAAATCTAATAATGGAACTAAAAATGTTTGCCTTGTATATGATGAATTTTTCTTTCTACAAGAGCAAGATTTAGTACTGCAATTTATTTGTCAGCAATTGCAAGAATTTGAATAAGTTTTTCGACTTGAACTATTATTATTTGCATAGTTACTTCAATTCAAATTATATCAGTAAAGATTTTTTTTCTAACCCTCTCTAGAGGAATACCATATAATGTTAGTTTCAGTAAAATTTTAATTAAAATTCAAAATTTTTATTTACTTTGGAAATGTATGTGTTAAGTGTTCTTAGGTCATTCTTACATAATATAAATTGTATGACTCAAGTGTTAAAAATTATAAGTTTGACGTTTCTGAATATTATAAATTGGATGTGTAATATTTTGCTTGGTGAGATTTTTTAATATCTTAAGACATTCATTGCGACATTTTCTATCCATCAAACTTCGTTTAATTTTTTTTTCATTTGATTTTTTTTTCATTTAATTTTATTTTTATTTAATTTTTTTTTCATTTGATTTTTTTTTCATTCATGTATGTTTCCAATATTCAGTTAAAGTCTCACAGATCAGAGAAGAATAATAATATAAATTCATTAATAGAAAAAGAAAAAATATATACATAGTAAAAAATATTTTTCAAAATTTATTTATTTATCATTGGTATCATTAATAAGCTATCATTGATTATAATATGATCTGCATTAAGAATTGACCTGGGCTATTTATCAATCAGTTGAATTTGAAAAATGACAGGTGTTGATTAATAATCGATGTAAATTAAGAAGTAATACATAATATAAATACTTAATTCTCTAAATATTTGAAATATTATACTGGCAAATTGATTAATCAACTTAATAACTTAAATAATGCATAAGCATAAAGGTGATTTATTATCATTAAATTGTCTAATTAAATCATTAATATAAATATCTTACTTTCAAATACTTAACTCTGAATAGCTATTAGCATGTCTAGATTTTGGAACTGTCAGTTTATGAGTCTTCATAATTTTGGATATTGGGATTATAGACTTGCAGGATTTTGGAACTGTCAGTTTATAGGTTTTTGGAATTTTGGAACTGTTAGTTTATGAGTTTTCAGAATTTTGAACTGTCAGTTTATGGGTCTTCAGGATTTTGAATCTTATTTTCAAGTTTTTCAGAATTATAGATGTCAGGATTTTTATTTTACAGAAAAAAGGAACTTCAGAATTTTTAATGTTAGAATTTTGGAAATATCAATATTTTAACTTGTCAAGATTTTTTAATGTCAGGATTTTATTGTCAGTATTATGAATTTCAGGATTTTGATTTTTAAGATCCAGTTATAAATCCTTGTTAGTCATATTAATGCAACTATAATTACAGATATTTTATTCTAACTAATTAACAAAATGCTGTTGTTATAATATTATCTATATATTATATAAGTAATTATTCAAATTTTTACTATTGATAGGTTTGAACTTATAACCTACTACTTGGAGGTTAACAACTTATTTACTTTACTAAGTTGCCACACTTCATTAAAAAATCTTAAAAAAATAATAACAGATATAATAAAAATAAGAGATTATAAAAATTAGATATATTTAAATAAAACTAATTTAAAAATAATATAGTAACAAAAAAATATAAAATATAAAAAACAAGGTATTACTAAATATAGTTAAATTAAAAATAAAAAAACAAGATTAGATAAAACATATAAGTAAAATATATAGATATAATTATAAAAAACAGTATTTCTAATATTAGAATATTATATTAAGTTTGAAAATATTCTTATTTGTATAGCAGTTTAATGATATATTCTAATTACAAGTAGTTGTCAAAATAATTATATAAATATATATAGCAGATATAAACTTAGATACTATATAGATAGTCAAATAAAGTTAGTAAAATAAAATTAACCTTTCTAGTAGTTTAGTAATAATGTTGTAATATATAGTAAAGATTACAAAATATATATACAAAAAAGTGTAAATATAATGTTATATTGGATGTCTAGAAGCAAGATAGTTTCTAGTAGCACAAATGTAATGTAACTATATATAATAGTAATGCAAAAAGCTAAATAAAGTACAAGTTACAATTTGGCATTATAAAAAACAAAAAAATTTATATCAACTTGTGTTGATAATATATTAAAAGCAAAACTAAGTTATATTAAATAATAAACAATTATATATTCAAATATTTTGGTTTTATTATAAAGTTTGCAAATAACAAATAATCAATATTTTTTTAATTGTATAAAAAAATTCATATACGTATTTTAATACATTCAACAAAATAATTCTAATAATAATTTTTTATATTGCAACAGCTTCTGAATTACAAAATATTTACATTTCAAATTTTTTATTTAGATGATATATTTTTTTGAAAGCTACTGTATTATGTTCAATTGAATTACTTGGACAAATTGTAACATTGTCCAAATGTTTTGTAGAAAAGGTTTTCAAATTCTAAAGATTATTTTTACTTAGTATAATATAGTTTACATGCATTTTCCAATACCTAGTTCTATTTAGAGATTAGAACTTTCTAAATGTTTTTTAATAGTTTAGCAGTTTTGACCATGTTAATTAGTACTCTTAATGGGTTGATCTGAACAACCCGAACTAACCCAGTTATAATAAATTTATTACATGTGTCATGACCTATATAATAAATATACTATAACTGGAGTCGTTCAGATCAACATATGTATTAGAGCACAGTTTAATTTTTTTATGCGGTTAAATGATTTAATCCTTAATTATTTCCAACACTAATTCTAAATCAGGCAATCCTAACTCTAAATCAGGGCAACTTTAACTGTTACGTAGGAAAATTATTAACCGGAAATGAGTGCCGCCAAAATCAAAAATATATATTTATATGTATTGTAATGCTATAATTTAAAATTGATGAATATGAAATTTAATAATTACTAAAAAATCCACATTTTAATAACAATGGCCAGCAAATAAAATATACGTATCAAAATTATCACATATAACTGTATAATATAAATCATGTTTATTACGCTCCCGGACAATTCATTTTGAAAAGATTTTCGAATTATTAAATAATTCTGATTGTTATAAAGATCATTAATTGATTATTATAATATATAAGTCTTAAAATAACTACCAATCAGCTTTTAATTTTTTAATAAAACCATATATATTCTTTAATAAAAATTATGTATACAAATGCTTATATAATTTTTTTTTTTGTGTTTAAAAAGTTTACCCGGAAATTTTCATGATGAATGAAAAAAAAGTTTTCAAAGATTCACAAAGCCCCAGCCAGGTCACAAGAACTAATTAACTAAATGATAAATTTTGTATGAGCAAATGATCAATAAAATTAAAGAATCACAATGTTAAATAATTGTTAACAAATAATTTTTGTCTGAACAAGACGATCTTTATTCGTTCTACGTATAATATTTCCGTACGTAATACCAAATCAGTATTGAATGATCAACCGAATTTTAGCAAATTGGAAGACTATAAAATATTATTAAGCATTCATCAAGTAGTATCGGTATTAAATTTTCTATCAAAAATTTAAATCATAATATAAATTTCTATAATACACATGAATGATAGTCGCTTCCCACACAGCGGAAAAATTCCCTAAAAACGGGGGAAAGATAACCAAATATGTATAAATGAATAAATTATAGAAACGCGGGGGTAGATCAAGGATTTTTGTTCTTTTTAGTATGAATATTTTTAACGTTTATTCGACCATTCAAAGAAATAAGATCTTTAAGTTTTAAATCAAAGTACATAACTGATAATAAATTATTTATAATGGGATACTTCTATTATCAATTATTGTGTCAATATTAATATGATAAATTTACCTGATTTGGAAATTCATTTATTTTTTGCAGATAGCGATAGGCAGAGTGCGATTTATTTATATTATTGATATTACTGTATTACACAAAAATTTAAAGTCATTATTAAACAGCTATCATAATATATTAAATAATTAATGAATTATACTGAATTATACACGAGCGAACAAGCGCAATTAACCGAATTTTATTTGAAATTAACAAGCATTAACAAGTGTTAACAAGTGTTAACAAGCGTTAGGGTTATTAAATACGATTTGTTCTCATTCCTTTTTGTTTACCTAATCCGCATCCAGTCAGAGCATGCAATAGTGCATGTGAAAGAGTATGAAAGATTGATACATTATATAAATTGTATATTATATATAAATTGTATATATTATATAAATTGCATATTATATGAATTGCATGTTATATAAATTGCATATTATATAAATTGCATATTATATAAATTGTATATTATATAATATAAATTGCATATTATATAAATTGTATAAGATTATAAGCTGAAATGATTAAGGAAACAATGAAACAATTATACAAGAAAAGTTAAATATATTAATTATGTTAATTAATACAATTCTATAGTTAAACGTAAAAAGCATGTATGCATTTAAATGTGAGAAAATACATGTATGAATATTTATTATGTACAATTGCGTCAGTTTTGTTCATATGTTAATATAACAAAGATAGTATGAACACAAGCAAAAAAAGTTGGACCAATCATAAAGCATCATATAAACTAAATGAGACCCCTAGAGCGGTTCTTGATCCAAGTCACGGTTTGTTTCAATTAAACTTTATAAAGGTAAATACGATAGAATTGAAAAGTAAGAGCATGTGATGTAATAAATAATTTCCGGTCCACACAAATGAATAAAATGAAAAAAACGAATGATTTTTTTTTTTATCTATTGTAATCCGGTTTTTAACAAATGATTAAAAGAACTTTTAGAATTAAAATTTGATGCCTTGTGACATATAAATATTTTAGTAAGATATGGCGTTAAGTAACAGAAGAAATCTGTGCTTTAAACTTGACAAAGTCATATTGAATTATCGTACTATTTTTATTGGGACATCTGCTTACGTCATCGGATGTTCATCATTTCCTTATAAAAAGGCACTATCCCAAAATAGATTCCAAATATTTATTGTCAATATATGCGAGTGACGCAGCACGACATGCAAGATATTAGGTTTTCTAAATTCAAGTATGTACGCGTAACAGTACAGGTATGTAAATGCGCAAATAGGAGCCAAATAACGAGATCATTGCGCATATATGATTTTTCCGCCTAAGTTTAAAAAAGAAAGACCTTGAGAAAGATGGTAATAGCAACAATCGGCAAATAACAGGACGATACATAACGGAAAAAGTATTTCTAAAATCGTTTGGTAAAATTGTTAATATTTTGATCAGCTAGCGTTTATGAGAATTGGTTCAGACACATTAACAAGAATAGTTCACAAGATAATTCACAAGTAAATTAACCATAAAAAAAAAACAAATCGTTCTTGAATAATCAATGTGTTCAGAAGTAAATGTAGTAATTAAATTTGCAGGACTTTATTTCCACATTTATTATATAAATTGATATAAATCGTAACTTGATTGATTAATGTAGCGAAGCTAATATAACACAACTCGGCTAAATATCGGCCAATAGCAAAAATAAAACTTAAATAAGCCTATTGACGTTTTGTGATCCAATTACGGTGATTGTAGTATGTGCATGATTAGAGACCGAAAGAGAATTGTGTATATTTTATTTTTTAATTAAAACTCGTAATATTATAAATATTGTAAATATTATAAATATTACAAATATTGTCTAATAGAGAAGACCAGAAAGCAACAAGCTTATGGCAAGTACAACCTAACACTAAGAATGTTTATATCACTCTCATTCACGATAAACCTTAATAATTACTACAGCCTTACCTTTTACATCACTAAATACACAATCGGACAACTCCGTCTTTTCTGTTTGCGTCAGCCAAGTCGCGGTACAACACAATTTATCACTTGATAATTTCTAATTTGGGAATCCTTTTATCTACATAATCTTTTAAATATTCTGCGAAGAATAGTATAACAAGATTACAGATCGCGTCAGCATAGTGGGCTTTCATTCCAATTGGCTAATTTTTGTAGATCATCCCGTGATATTGCCAAAATATCATTGGTCAATCGAAATTATTCAATTTACGAAACTAATTACTGTAACGATTCTTACCGTAACGATTAAATGTTTAATACGTATGAAATTAAATTGATATTAATAAATAAATTACTATGACATCTAACAACCCAAATCTAAGCCATAGCCCGAAAAAAAAAATTAAAAATATGAAACATTTTTATTCTACTATAACCCCTGCTCGTGGCTGCGGTTCCGTTTTTGTGAATGAGAAACGTTACGCTAATGTGTAGAACATATTGTGTAACATTTCGGTTGATCATCCAATCAGATTTAAAGCCCGCTATGCTGATCGCGTCCCTTTTGCATATTGGTTACGCCATCATATTTATCTTTGTCCTCTCCGTTTGAATTTTCGTTACTTACAGAATTCCTGAATTAGTTTGACATTAGATTGTTGTCTAGACCCATCTATATTTTATCTATATTTTATCCATATTTTATCTATATTTAGATCCGTCCCTTGAAATTTGCGGACGTTTGTCCTTTTCAAGTATTTATATCTAATAAAAAAAAGTAAATTTCACGTGACCGACGGAGAAGGTTTATCAATATAGGATAGAATTATGCAATGTAAATAATGAGCAAGTTTTAAACATTTGATTTCTCAATTTACACAAAGCCGTGTCACCTAGAATTCCTTATTAGTATGAGTTAAAGACTTTTTTTGAAGAATGCTCCGCTATAAATGCATATCGGGTTGAAAAAATCTTTTATTTTGGTTATCTCAGATCTTATCAGCTATTGTACTTACATTATATAACTTATTATTGTGTTGCATAATTTGCATAATATTTTATATAGTGAGCTAAAAATGATATTTAAGGCGTCAATTCTAGCGATCTTAGTTTTAATATATCATTCGAAAAAAAAAAAATTTGGTTTGATCTTGTCTATTAAAAAGTAATGTGCGTTCCCAGCACAGAACCTGCACCAACCAGTTAAATGCCATGTTGTGCAACTTTTACTAAATCTCTTACCATTTTTCGTATGTCCTAATCATTCCTTGTGTTTCCAAGAATTATAATTTCGTCGATTTAATGGATGAAAACTTGTTTTTGTTTACGCTATTGTTGATTTTTTTTCTCCGTTAACAAACAAAAATATATATATATATAAAAAAATAAAAAAAAATTAATAGAGGTATGATTATCAAGGATCCGTTCACTCATGCTTTCCACCGCACTCATCTGTGCTGCCTAACTTTAAGACAATCATTTCCTCGTGATATTTATCTTTATGCCAGTTGTCTTCTAAAGTGTCTGCGCGTTGAAGCATAATTAGGTTGCATTTTGCTTACGTCACAAGAAATTTTATTTTATTATTACTTTCGTGTCTAGGTGAGACAAGGATTGGCAAAACTTTTTTATTATATGAAAATTAAATTTCATTTTACAAAGCTAATCACTACTTTATCGATTATATCGACTATATTATTTATAATATATCAAAAAAACCCGCATATATACATTCAACCGAACGAACACACGCATATATGCGTCATTTACCATTTCTGGACTTGATTGACTTTGTATATAAATACCAGTTATTCGGACTCTGAATTAGAGGTTACAGCTAGTTGTTATTTTTATGTCGTCTAATTAGACTCAAATATAAATTCAAGGTAATAGTATTTATACAACTTTAGTGCTGATTGCACATGGGAAAAAATCTTTCTTTTTTCAATTCCTTTCTCTAATGTTTTAAGATTTAGTTCAACTTTTAGTTGATTAATGACCTTAATAATATAAAACATGCCTTGTTTTTTATTCCTATGTTCATCTACTTATTTTTTATCAAAAAAAATTTGTTTTTTTTTTTTTTTGAATTCAAATAACGAAAAATTTTCTTTTACCTTGTGAATTATATCATATAGACTTTATAATATTATTATTAATTTTTACTTTTTACTTATTATTAGTCTTTACTTATTAATGTTTTATTATAATAATTTAAAAATAATTTAAAAATATTTTATTAGTTTTTATTTATTATATTATTTTATTAGTTTTTATTTATTATATTATTTTATTAATTGTTATTATTAGTTTTACAATATTAGTTTTACCTTTTACAATATTAGAGTTTTTCACATAATGACAACACCCACGATTTTTTTCGACTCACCATCTTTAGAATCCATTTGCAATCCCCCCATTATTCAACATCAACAAAAACAATTACACCAGCGAGTACAACATTACCAAACTTCGGAAATTATAAACACTTTCACTAATCCTATTTCCTTCGTTCCTTTGCATCAACAGCAACAAGTCGGAGTACAGCTCGCTTATTTTCCTCAATTTCCTCTCCAGCAGCAATTTCAATCCGAGTACATATATAATCCGACTACCTATCCTTCGCCTCCTTTGGACGCTTCTATCGGTCTTCCTTCAACTAGAATGGCTTCTAACGATTCCAGTGACCACCATAACCGATCAATTATTTCTGATAATTCTCAAATGAATCGCAGTGCAATTGAAACTGGCTCTTCTGCATCTGAGACTCCTGGAGCTGCACCTTTTTCATTCGGTAAGTATTCTTCAAAATCAATTAAATCTTATTATAACCCTCTATTGAACCCTCTACTTTGAACCTTCTATTTTTCACAGACCCATCAATGAAGTTGCCATCCGGATCTAATACAACTCAACAAATTGACTACTATGGTCAACCGCCTGCGAATTATAATGGAATGCCACCAACTTTTGGTAACACAATGCCACCTACTCCCCATGACTATTCAGCATCTATAAATCCTATGCAAAACCAAAACGGAAACGTTACACGCACTACGCCACCTCAATTTCATCAAAACCAAAACCGACCTCCACCAGTCCCTGCTCCCCAAACAATGATGACTACTTTTAGTTCAAAGACGGTTTCCTCTACTCCGAAGAGATATAAATGTAATATTTGTCAAAAGAGATTCACCCGTCCAAGTTCCTTGCAAACTCATACTTATAGTCACACGGGTGAGAAACGTAGGTCTTGTTTGGTTTTTTTTATAAAAAAAAATTTTTTCTTAATAAAATTTATATTCGACGCACTACTTTCGCTTTTACTTATGCATATAATCAGCATACTGATGTTTTCCTGCTTATATTATTCAGCCTTTAAATGCCCGGTTGAGGGATGTGGCCGTCATTTCTCTGTTGTCAGTAACCTTCGTCGTCATCAAAAAATTCATACAAAATCATAGACATCCGAGACACATCCTCTTTCTCTTTATAAACAATATTAAAATGTATCTTTTGTAATTAGCGCCAAACTAAAAAAAAACAAACCAAAAAAACTTCTTCCATTGTAATTTTATATGTTGCAATTAGTAAACATGTATCTAATGATATACATATCAAATATAGTTATCCTCTTTTATTTCTTATTTTTTTTTTTACGCAATTCGTTGAATGAATTGAATTTCTTTGCTAGTTCAAACGATGATCATTCATCGAATTTCTTTATTATTATTATGCCCATTATACTTTATGCAATTTAAATTCCTTTTATGCATTTTTGTATTTTGTTTCTCTGCTTATTCATAATGATTTAAACTTTATTATCGTTATAATTATTACAATTATTATTATTACAATTTTTTCATACATATAAACTATCTAATCGTTATCATAAATCATAAATGATAACTTTATTTCTCTCTCTTTTCTTCCTTTTATTATTATGATTATTATGGCACAAAAAGATGAACAAAAGGGCTAAAATTCGTATATATGGTTTTTTTTTTGTCAAAAAAAATATATGCATGCCATTTTTCTTTTTATTCAGAAAAAAACAATTACGTTATGAATTGATTTAAAATATTATGCGTTTATTTAACTATATATGTGTGTTATATAAAAACTAAAAGCTTATACTAGTCCTTTTTTTTTTTTTTTTTTTTTTTTTTGAGATCTAAAGAAATAAAGTTTTTTTTTTCTTTCGAGATGTAAAATGAAAATCGGTGTCAATTTATTGCGATTTAAAGGAACGATAATCTCGGAGAATTTAAAAAAACGAGTTCATATTATTTTTAATCCACGGCATATTGATGATTATCACGTGTACATGAACACGGCCTATCATTGATCGGCGAATTTTTCAATTTCTTTTTTGCCAGCCCCTAAAAAAATATAATGATAAGATTTAAAACATTTAAAATTCAAAAAGAAATTTCTTATGGTAAATATATTTTAAGTTGTTGTAATATTAATATTTTAAGTAGGCTAAACCATTTACAGTCCAATAAGAATTCATGATATATATAATATAATAATAATATAAGAATGGTTAGCAATTCTTATTGGACAGATTTTTGAATTTTTTAGAAAAAAAAAAAATTTTTTCGTGTCTTATTAGATTCAAGTCGGCTGTGGTAAAATTTCATACCAAAAAAGTTTAACAATCTGATTTATTTGGGTAACCAAGTAACAATTCAAAATTATGGCGATAGAAAAAAAAATTTTTTCTTGATTTGGTTGATATAAAGATCTATTTTAAAGGTTTGTCTTGATTTCATGCGATATTGTTTATAAGGGGCTTATTATGGTTTGATTGAATAATAGGATACTTAATAATCACTTTACATCGTAAAGAGGCAATCTCATTGGGGTTTCCACGTGTCCGTGTAACGTGCACTAGCATTTAGGTCCCGAGCTTGAAAAAAAAGTCTAGGAACTGAAACTTCGCGATAATAACACGTGATTATACCGTTTTTCAACACAATTTGTGGCTTGTATTGCATACAATATAAATTTAATTGTATTATTTTAAGAAAGAATATACACCATTTCTATGAAATTGTTGAATTTGTATAAATATAAGTATATATATTTATTTACTTTTTTTTTTACACTAACGCTAATAGATCTACTTTTTCGTTATATAAAAAATTTTTTTTTATTATAAAAAAAACAATATATCTAATTTTGTAATTTGGAGTAACATATTACGTTAGCGTAAATCCTGTCAAAAAAGGCACTAATCACGTGGTATTGGTCAGATCTGGCCACACTTACAGTAATTACGCATAGCAATAGCGAGAGCCTAAAGATTTCAAATATCAAATATATCCTTATGAAATATCAAATCTCTTCAGATACAAAAATTTGTTAAGTGGCAAAGATATCGTAATTCAGAATTGAACTTTAATTTTACAGTAGTACTGCATGGTGCACACGGTTTAAGGCCTTTTAACATTATTAAAAAGTTTGTAGATTATAAAAATTTATACGTATTGAACTACTTATTAAAATTAAATAAAATAAATATCAAACTATATATTTTAATTTAAACTTTTTTGATAAATTATTCGGTATACGTATACGCAATAAACCATTTTTAAACATTTGTAAAAAAAAAAAAAGAAAAAGAAATTAATACGTACGTACGTAATACTGATACTCTTGCAATATGCCATGTTTGGTTTTTTTTAGCTTTTGAGAAAATCTCGATTGGTCAAGTTTATTAAAAATTAAATCATTCTTTTTTTTTATGATAGTTAGTAGTTTACACATAGCGATAGTATTTATACACGGGTATATGCTAATTTATTGATTTACGAATTCACATAATATATATGTACTGTATATAAATTGTAATACGAAACTCTAGGGTTATAAATAGTTTGGGTTATACATATTAAATTTTGCAAAAATTAACCTTAATTGGTGGTGATAATTACCAGGGCGCAATATTTCAAAAACGGGCTAAAAAACAGGGGTCAGATATATTAAGTAAAAATGTTTAGAATCTCTAAAAACTACATTCTGATCCTAATAAAGGCAATTATGATTATTACCGGTTATCTATTGTAAAAATCTTTGTTAAAAACTTTATAATTAGAATTGAAATATGTATCAATATATATATACTGTATATGTATGTATTTATAGTATATATATATATTATATATATAATTGGTTATTTTTATAATTATTAAATTAATTTTTATATTTATTTAAATTAATATATAAAGATGAGTCAATAGAAAAAAGATAAAATATTTTTAATATAATAATTTTTTTAATTTTTTAATTTTTTTTAAAAATGATTTTTTTGATTTTTTGACTTTTATTAATGACTTTTTTGATATAAACTATTACAAAAAAGTATACAATTGATTACATGTAACTTTTCTATATTACCTATTTAAGAAGTCTGCCCAAAGGTTTTTTATTAATTGTTATATCTAATATCTTTGCTTGGATGTTTCATTTTAAACCTTTTAAATCTGAAACTATATTAATATTACTAAGTTATATTTAAGTCATTACCTTAACTTTAGAACTATTTTATCTTTAAGATAAACCTTTCAGAGTTTTTTGTATTTATTTTTACAACTAATCTAGATATCATTATAGCAAAATCAATATTTGTAATTAGAGTTATGTTATTTAACTGCTATGTTTTTGTAAAGTTTATTTAAACTTTAGCATTTACTTTATAACATACTTTAATATACTCTTACTTGTTTTTTAAACTCTTAATTCAGATAACTTATATAAAATTATAACCAGTTTATCAATATATCAAATTGATTTAATATTCTTTTTTTCTAGTTCATTTTAGCAACCTAATTAGTAATATTTTTTATTCAAAAATTTTTATTTATTTAGATACTTCAATATTAGTATTTGTTTTATAATTTTTTTATTTTAAATTTTTTTTTCTTTAACAGCCTTGTTAAAGTTTTAATACAAAATTTTACTAATTGAAATATTATTTATTTTTAGTAATTCACTTTTGAAATTGCAAGCCTAGCATTATCCAAATACAAAAACTGCACTTAAATATGACTTGTTGCATCAACCTATTTTTAAATTGGAAAACTTTGTTAGCCTTGTTAAAAACTGAATCAAAATGAATTATTTCTATTTTGTATTATTTTATTAACACTTTTCATAAACAATTGCTTATGTTTTACTTTTTTTTCTTTGTTTTTCTTCATTCTGACCTTATTTAATGATACTTATTTATTTTTAACTTTCTTCATACAATATTTTTCATTTTCAACTGCTTTGACTCTTCTTTATTTTAATTTTAATGTTATTCTACTCTCTTCTTCCTATTTGACTATTGTTTTACATCTTCATTACTAAATTTCTTTTTTGAACATCTCTTCTACAATTTTAACATATAATCTAATACTCTGCTTTACATCTTTATATGAAACTTGTTTAGCATACAATCTCTTAAACATATTCTCAACTGCTAAGTTATATATGCATGCCTCTTTATATTTAATTTTATCTATTTTAGTTTTACTAACTAATATTCTTTTTAAGTTAAGTCTTGTAAACTTGTTTTTGTCTAACTTGTCAAACTTTTTTCAAACTAACCAATATGTTAACTTTTCAATATTATTCCAATACTTTTTATATTCTTTACAACTAACTAATCTCTTGATGGTTCTTTCTCTATGTTACATTTTTTACATATATCTGAATTATACAAGTCTGGCACTCTCTTTTTTAATATATCAAGCATTAGTAAACTACTAGTTTTATATTATTGGAATTTAAAAAGCCATATATAGCTTAGAACAGTTTGATTATCTGTTGCTAATCACTTCTTATAATGTCTTAGAATACTTCTAAGTCTAGCACAGATAATCCTTGTAAAGAGTAAACTATTTGTTAAGTCTGATCAATACAAAAAGAACAATAGATCAAATCTTTCCTACAACCAACCTATCATAAAAATCCTTATAGTATCTAGGAGGCTATTGAATTTAAATTCTATTTTTAAATATTTATTTTTTATTTTTTAGTTATTTTTATTTATTTTATTTTCCTTTAAATAAAAGATCTTCTACTTGGTATTTGTGCATTTAAAATTACTACAGCTTGCTAGTTTTTAGTAAATTTTATTACAATATAAATCAATTATTTAAAATCAAACCTTAGTATTTTTTTTGTTTTTTGTTTTTTTTCTTTTTGTAATTTGTAATTGCTATTTGTATTTCATACATTGTTTTTTTTTTTAAAAAAAAAAGTGATCTCTTTAGTCTTTTGATTTTTATTAATAACTTTTTTAATAATAAGATTCTATAAACTACTACAAAAGAGTATACAATTAACTACATGTGTAACTTTTTTATATTATTTATTTAAGAAGTTTACCTAAAGGTTCCTTACTAATTGTTATACTTAACATTTCTGCTTAGATGTTTTATTTTAAACCTTCTAAATCTGTAATCTATAT